ATAAAGCTGGCAGAATATAAATGGGTGGAATTGTAAGGGGAGCCCTGAAGCAAACCTCCCAATTATTCTCTCGTTCTCCTTTAAATGTTTGATGCACTCACAAATGTCATCTGAAGAGAAATGTTTCTCCATGGCATGATACACTTTCCAAGCACTGGAGAAGTCAAATAGATTTTGATCTCTCTTCAAATCATTCACGAGCTTTGCTCTAATGTGACCTGATCAGGCCACTTTCCAACTTCAGCTCGGTGAAATGACATTTGAAATTCATTGCGTCAGCCTAGTTATCGTGCCTTTATTGATGTGATGAAAGCGCAGCTTCAGGCACAGGCCATTCGCGTTTCCTACAGTTAGTTGTTCATGGATGGACATGAGATGACCTCCCAATAGTGCAGCTTCCTCACACTGGACATGCCATGCACACGCATACTCTTCCAGTCATTGCGCTTTGATGCTGATTTATTGAAGTTTAACTTAATCGCTCTTGTAATACCAGACCAGAGGCGGGTGAAAAGCCTCAGTAGTGGGGAAAACTGACAACAAATCAAACAGTGATTTCATGACGGCGGCACCGGAGATCCATCAGAAACGCGGCCGAGTGTGGACGCGTTGCCACGCGTGGTGCCAGGCGAGGTGCCAGGCAGTCCAGGCAACATCCTCCATGCCAGCTCCCCAAGGCTGTATGTCCTCGTCACAAGGACAGAAAGGTCGTTAGGACCAAGCGCACTAAATCAAACACCTCCTCCTGCCCACCGTCATGGCCGACAAAGCAGGTTGATGTAGAGTTACTCGGAGGCCCGGAGCGGCGCCCGGTCAGACAAATACTGGTTTCCTTCTCATCATCGCATCCTCTTATTGGAAATGATTGCAAGATATGTGACCGTGTTATGACACCTCCCCCTGTTTTTGAGAGCACCCCAATGTCAGCTTGGCTTTACACAGTGTGACGGATTCCTTCTAAATGCATTTCAGCGTTTTGCACAAATACATTTTCAGAGCTAAGTAAACAATGCAGGCCATTATGTAGATGTATTGTTTATGCATTTTATGCTCCGTGGCTGAGATGAGCAAGTGAGAGCGAGAGCAGTACATGCAAAGACAGAAAAACAAAGAGAGACAGACAGCTCCACTTCTACCAAAGACATCAGCGCCACTAATGGCTCAGGCATGTTTTTCCATTCTGTCAGCATTTTTTTTTTTTAAACGCACCAAACTGATAGCAAAAGGTACCACTTTATGTGACACAGGGCAAGATCTAATGGATTGATACACAGGTTTTGACATGCTATTTGAGCAAGGAGCTCCCTATAATTGGTCACGTCATTGTGCATTAAACTAACGATATATAGAGAGCTGCCCTGAGAAGAGCGTCTGGATCAAATCTGTCAGTTATCACAGCAAAATGACTTTGACAGCTATCTAGGGCCCATTGGTGAAGGCACATTTGGAAATTGGCCCAACCCCAACGCCTCACCTCTTTTTTCCCCCCATCTTCAGTCTTTCTCGTTTGCTGATATTTGCATCAAATGCACTTTTTAATAATGAACACTATCACAAAACAATATGCATTCTCATCTGCGGATTAAAATTAATGAAGTTCTGCATCTGCATCTTATTTCTATTTTAATATTACCATATGAATTAGAAGAAGAACCCTCACAACGTGCACATGACTCACCGAAGATATCGGACCACATACTTAGAGTATCACGACATGATCACATGACTACAGATAAACATGAATGATTAGGCTTGATGTCAGCAGGTTATGCTTCGTGCCTTGTTTTACACCAGTTATATTTGATTTAAGGGCTCTTATCATTGATATCACAACGACATCATATTGATTTCAGTTTAAAACATCAAAAAGGTCCATTAAAAAATGGACAATCATGAGCCAAGACGGTTCCGTCCATTTTTAGGCTTGGTTTCAATTTTCACATTTTAATGAAACAAAATGCCTTAACCAAGTTCATTTTTCAAGCTGCTTTTGAATTAAGGCAAAATATGCAGTTGTGTTTTCAGCAGTGTATTTCTTGCATGTCTGCAATGTTTGTGGAATATATTATGTCATGCCACATTGACATGGAATGCAACTTATGACCCAAAGTTGATTCCCTGACACTGACACAGGGCCGAGGTGCACAAGAAAGCAAATAAGTGTCTGACATCCATTCGAGGTAACGGTAAAGCGTGTCATTTTTGGTTGAATTGACACAAATTAACCTGCTGGAAAAAGCAAACAAACAACAAAACAAAACTAAAATGACCTTGCTAATGTGGTTTATTGATTATAATTCCTGTCAAATATTCACTTTGTTTCTTCATGTGGCAATGTGAATTGCATTATAAAAATGTTTGTACTGTATACTGTATCGATTAAACGTTTTTTTTTAAATGAACCTGTATTTTCATAATTACAGTTGAATGCCGAGGTTGAACATATCCTGGTCCAATCGGAAAAAACATGTTGCTTCAATTCCACTGCGAGATGAAGGGTGTTGGATTCTCAAGCTTTCTGCTTAACGTTGCTTTTAAGCAATGCCTAATTCTGGCCATATTTCTTATTTGGATGTAACATGACGACACAACACTAAACTTTAGTTTGGCCGTCATCGCGTGACTCCGCCCATACATTAGCGAGACGGTGGGGTGAAAGGTCCAAGGTGAAGCTTGCGAAGTCTCTGCGCGGACTCCTTTGAGGCTGTCACAAGCCATCATGTCTCTTTTACCATCGAGCCTGCATGACTGGGCAACGCTTCATACTTTTGTCATGACATGCAAGGTTTTTTTGTCACAGCACTCAGCATACTTGATTAATATAAATCTTTCAGTTTAATACTTGACCCATTTGTTCCCCTTAACCTGTTGATATTTTAGGACTTGGATTAATCCGCCGCTTTAAAAGAAGACGAGTAGCTTTGATTAATTCTCGTGAAATATAGCTTATCGCAGAGCATCCTTGTGTTTGACGAAGCAGCTCATATCAAAAGCTTACTAAGAAAGGAGCAATAGATTTCACGGTGCCCCGCAGACATCCGCTATTACTTTGGCAGCCATTTTGTTTTTCTAAATACATAGCCTGTCCTCTTCAGCTGTCTGTCTGCGGGTGCTGTCAGCCACTCAGCTGTGATTGGTCTGATGGGCTTGATGCTCATCACTCTGTCAGGCTTGGTTCGCCTTTCATTAGGCCGGGCCCCTCCATCCGCCACACTCGCACAAATCACATTGACATCCAAACTCCTCACAACCGCGGAGCAATTTAACTGATATTCATTAGAGGGATGACAAGAGCTGATGGGAGATCTGTGGAGTGGGGGGACTTTCACTTCTCCTCTTATCCTATCCTCGTCCTGTCCGCCTCCTTCCTTCCCTCTCTGCCGCTGACTTTGTTTTAGGAGCATTGAGGCGCATCAGCGTCTGTAACAAGCCAGCCCTCAAGGATGGCGAAGACAAAAGAACAATGGATAATGCATCTAATCTTCTCTTTATTATCACAGAAAGATACAGCAGAGAGGAGTCTGTGTTTTCCCATGCAAAACAACCTACAATGTCACATCCACAGTTACAACGCTGTCCTCTTGCAGCCTCGATAATGCTCATCCAAGCAGAAGTCCAGTCATTTAGCCGTCTCCCTCCAGCCCCTCATTAACCCCCAAAGTGTCAACTATCTCATTAACGCCGCCAACCATCTTCACCTCGTGCCCATCACTTACCCCAAAGCCTTCATCAACACATACAAGGCTGCAAAAAAGTCCATTATGTCAAACGTAATTGAAGGCCTGCGCCGACTCCGTAATCGCAGATAACACGGACGATATTCAATAAAGGCAACTTGGGCTTTTCATTTGCATTATCACTGGCTACTGGTCTGAGTGCCATCTTTCAATTACCATTCTTTGTTAAGGGTTTTATTCTGCTTGTCAGGCGTGAGTCATCGTCGGGTTCTCCCACAATGTTAGACCAATGTATCCTAAACGTTGGAGGGCCGGGAGCGAGTCTGAGGCAGTAATGAGTTTGTGTGAGAAGACGGGGTCAGGACACAGTGTGTGTGTGTTAATTAATCTGTTCCCGGGTGGGAGGAACTGAAGCAAGATGATGAGATTTAAGAGAGTAAATGGGTGTGCTGCACTGGAGCTGTCCTCTGTTGAGTGAGCGAGCGGGGTTAGAGGCTGGCCAAATGGCCGTCGCCATAGTAACCAGATAACTTCCCAGTCCTGAGTCTGTCATGTCAGTCGGGCGTGACAAGCAAAAGAACAGTGTCTCCAGCCACCTTTCGAGTAAGATGCTTACTGCTGTGAAACATTCAAACTTTGTAGATGGCACAGAGCCTGAATTTTGACGATTCTGATGGCGTCAACACCTGCCACTAATATTGTTAGATCCAAAAGTGTGCTTTGAGGGAATAGCACCTGTCAGTGAAGTCTGCACCACTGTCAGCTTGTCTCAATGCGCATATACACCATCCCCTTTATTTTTTCCAAGGGACGGTCTTGGAGTACAGGTGTGTGCCAGATCTGCTGTCTGTGCCCGGGGCTCCTGATGGCATCCAAGCCCCTGTGGTAATCATCCCACTCCGCCTGCTGCAGCATCCTGCCTGCCTCCTCCTCCTCCGCCTCCAGTGGCTCGTTTCGGAAACATCTGGTGGTTTACATGCAGCACGCAACACCTGCCAGACGCCTTGCAGGCAGTGGCACCACTCGCACCTCCAGAGACGGGCCCGATGTGGCGACGGAGAAATCATTGGGAGTTTTAAATATTAAAACAATTGTCCATATAACTGTGCAATGGGTCGAAAAGAGATGGCCATAGATTTGATTTGTATGTGACCCCGCCTCTCAACCAAAGTCAGCTCTGATCGGCTCCAGCTCATGCTAACGAGGACAAGCGGTAAAGAAAATAGATGGATAGAATTTGATGGCTCGGTTAATAATATGATTATGAATGCAAATGGAACTGGTAAATATTTAAAAAAAAAAAGAAACAAAACACATTCTACGCAGCATTAATTCAGTTTAATAATAGAAGCACAAGGCATTAACATAGTTGTTTTTTTTTCTTTATCAAATAACATTTATAAAACTAGTGTGCAAAACATTGTCCTTTTATTCTTCTTCAAGGCTCTGCACCAGTGGATAGTCATAGTCCTTTTTAAATTAAGAAATATAACAAGTATGCATAATTTAAACAGCGAGTTGTAAGCATATACACTATATGTACATTTTTACATAAACAGACCTGGATTTTGTCTCACACTCAATTATAAAGTACAGTGAATCTTTTACAATCAGCAAGAAACTCCAAAGATAGACATAGAACTACATTTAAACATACAATTTTGCTGTTTGGCTGATGTTTTTTTTTTTAAGAGCTTTTCGGGGTATTTGGTTGTTTTAAGCTGTTACAAGAAGACCAATTAGAAGTGTCATTTTAAAACTTGGGGCAGGACAGGACAGGACTGTACAAATGTTAAGATCTGAACATGCAGTTTATCACCAAATCAACGCCCCCTCCCCCAAAAAAATCCCCCAAATACAAAATAAATAGAGTCGATGAATTTCAAGTTGTTTGTTGACTTAGAGTATTTACCTTTTGTCTTTCACATCAAAAGGTGCACAAAAATTGAGACATATGACACAATTACCAACAAATTTGGTTGAATTTTTTTTGGACATTCAAATTTTATATGAAAACACTTTATCTTTAAATACAGAGACCCTTGAAAATCCTCAAGACCCGACAGATGCAAATTCTTTGTGCTGACACTTTTTTTTTTTTTTTTTTTATACCAGTAGTAGTTCTTGGCATTTTAGTGCATTATACCACAATTTGTATTTAAGTTTTCAACAAATTCAATGGAACTTCATCCAGTTTTCGACTGATGACAGCACACTAGTGCTTTTCGAGTTCGCACACATAGAGCAAGTGGTCCTCTGGAGACTTCCCGTGACTCTTGCTGAGGTGAAGTTTGATGGCATGCTTAGTGGCAAATTTACGGACACAGAGCTGGCAGCGGTACACAGAGCCATTACTACTGCAGTCATCTTGTGGCGACATGTACGACTCCAGGGGCGCTAGCTTCTCAGCGAGAGTGTGGGAGTCCCTGACAGTCTGTTTTGGCGAGAGCTTAGCCAAGTCCCTGATTCTAAAGCCGAGGTGCGCTTCCAGGTGACCAACATATGCTGACGGGGTTCGGATCTGTGAGGCACAGTCACTACAGAAGAATACAGGCTGACCAGAGTCCAAGTTCTTCAGGAACTTGGTCCTACCGGTTCTTCTTAGCTGGTACTTGACATTAGCTAGCCAGTGGCTAATGGTCGTCATTGAGAGACCTGTGAAACGAGATATGTGCATTCTCTCCTGTGGGCTGAGATCATTGATGATGTATTTCCCCTCGGAGGTCTGTCTCAAAGTGGAGGCGAACTGTGCCTGCAGGAGGAGGAGGTGCTGGGGATTCCAGCTGGAGTGTCGACCCTTGCGTTTATGACCGTGCAGATTTCCATCGTCATCATCGCATGCAGAGACCAGGCCCTCGACTTTATCGGTGACCCGTGACCGAGATGCTGGTTTCGGGGCGGGCTGGGATTGTGTCAGGTTTCTCAGCATGTCTGAGATATCAGACAAGGCATTCTCATGCAAAGGACTGTTGGATGTATATGGAGAAACCACTGTTAGCTGTACAGGGGTGACAAGAGAGGAGGGCGAGATGGAGGAGGCAGTGGATGAGGGTGTTAAGGGAGCCGACGCCATCGATATTCCTTTCTCACCTTTCCCTTTTGTGAGGTCCATAGGCTGGTCGTCACTGGACTGACAAAAACTACTGTCAACTACAGTTTCAGGCTTCTTAGTCTGTAGGGGAGGGGCAGCCACAGCGGCCCTCTCGGCCATGCTCTGGCTGAACCGGGAGAGGAGGCTCAGCGGATCTTGGTTGGGCAAAGAGGGCTTGGCTGCTTTCCCCAAATGAATGCTCATTACTGACTGAAGAGCACTTAGAGGATTGACAAAGGGCTGCTCTGGAGGAGAATGGCCAGTGATGATGGCGGTGCTGCATGTTAAATCGGAGGCATGCGGGGATTTAACTGCTGCCTCTCTCGTGGTTTCTGTTGCCGGGGATGCTTGGTCGCTATGGATTCCCCTGTCACTATTGGCTGGGGTGAGTGCCCTCATTTCCCGAGGTGAGTCAACCTGTCCACCCTTATGCAATTCACCCGCCTCACTTTTGCAGGGGGAGAGATGGTTTTCCCTTTTGGGAGACAACCGCTTCACCCTTTGCTCCACTTTTGCTACTTTCTCAGTCACTTTTTTCACTAAATCTTCCATCGCCTGGAAGTTGTTGCTGGGAAAGGGGGAGGACTGGGTAAGAGGTGGGCTAATTAGAGGCTGGTTGCTGGTGAGGGGGGACAACACTCCATCCCCACCATTAAACAAGAACTTCATTGGGGAGTTCTTTTCAATGCTCCCCTGTTGTAGCTTGATGGCACTGGGGAACTGGTAAGCTGCGTGAATGCTAGGATAGCCCCCCCAGCTTGGATTCCCACTCTGGGCCTTGTTGATAGCTGATGTCACAGTGTTTTCCAGCGATTTCAGAATATCCAGGCCCCCTTTAGGACCCTCCTTCAGGTCTTCCTCAGTAAGGTAGTTATACTTTGAGATATCATATTTTTCCTCCTTCTCTGGATCCTCCTCCTTCCTGACTGAAATTTGTTTTTCATTGCCAAGGTCCTCTTGCTTTGTACACTCCTCTTCAACCTCCTCCCTTTTGATCTCTTTGAGAGGAGGAGAGCTGGCAGGGGGGGTTGGAGTGGTTTGAAGAGGCGGAGGAGAGAAGCTGGACGGTGCCAGTGGGACGGACTGAACTCTTGGCTCCGTAGGTGTGGTCACTCTCCCAGGGTTAGGGGAGGTGGCCTCAGGATGCGTTTTGGTTCGCTTTCCTACAGAGTTCGTCACCCTCAGAAAGTGCCCAGTCACCATCATGTGGGTCCTCAGCTCTTGCAATGTATTGTGTGAACTCCCACACTCCATACATTTGAGGATCTGGAATTTGTTGGATTCAAACTGGCAGGCATAGCTACCGCCGTTCTGGTGAGCATATCGGTTACTAGAAGCGGTGTAGGGGCTGGAGGAACGTTTCTGTGAGGATTCACTCAAGTCTGAATGCGAGGGCTTAACTTTTGGGGTTCCTTCTCTGGAACGTGGTGAGGCAGTGTGCTCCAGCCCCAGAAGTCCCCTTTTTTTAGAAGATAAAATTTTAGTGGCCACGGGGGCCATGGGCTCCTTCAGAGGCACTTTCTGGTAGTGTTTGGTCTTGATCATGTGGACACTAAGGTCCTGTAGAGATTCAAAGGAGTGGCCACAGTACATGCACTTCAAAACCTTCTGGGCATCCTCTTTGCCCTCCATTTCTAAAAGAGACCGTTTGCGGGGCTTGGACCAGCGCTTTGCACCATTTCCTGATTTATCCTGGTTGTCATCCCGGTAGTGGCCCGTATCGTTCATATGAACTGTCAGCTCGACCAGTGTGTCGTAAGCGGCACTGCAGCCCTTGCAGCGGAACTTGCTGGCCCCAGTAAAAATTGAACCAAACAACTTGGGATTTTGCCTGTGGAGCTGGACTGTGCTAAAAAGGCTTGGCTCAGACTGGGCAGTATGATGACTCTGGGGAGGAGTTTGCTGAAGCGTCTTTGCCACCGCTGACTGATGCCAATCATAGCTGCCACTACTACAGCTACTACTGCTACTGGTGCTGTTGCTGCGAGTTGGCTTCTCTGTCGAAGCAGATGGTGGCACCTGTATCGGTTTTGTATTAAAGTTCAGCGGTGCCCACAGAGGACTGGTGAGGAAGCTGGAGTAGATGGCCTTCATATGTTCCAAAGTGTCCATACCAACGGGTGGTGTCTTCGTGCCACCATTTAGAGGCGCCGTGCCCAAGTTTCCTTCAGTTTTTCCGGAGGGGCTGTCAAAGTCTGAGAGACAATCACTGATCTCGCTCACATGTGACTCGCTGTCCATCTCCTGCCCTGACAGCTCTGCAGCCCCTACTGATTCCTGGTCACATGCTTGGTCCTTGGCAGACCCGACACTTTTCTCCACAATCTCATCTTTCATGGGAAGGTCATCCTGAGGGGCTGCGGGCAGGTCGCCTGCTTCTGCCTCCTCATCCTCTGCAGGGTGCTTTGTCAGCTCCTCCGGAGAATACGCTGTAGGGCAAATGGAGACAAAGAGAGAAAGAACAAGATGAGTAAAATTGCAAGGAGTCAACACGCTGTGTTAGAATAACTGAAAAAAGTTTCTCTGCAATGTGTGCCCGAGGACTCCCCGGGATAAATGAGCCATCTGTGTGGGAGCCTTTAAAGCTGAGCTGAGAAATTACAGTCATCCCATTTCACCTCATCAACCGTTGAGGTGTTATTTTCCTCTAGGCGAGCCTGTATTTATATACTACCCCAGCCACATGGAACTTATGCCTCCCCTCTTTTCACTCCCTGTATTGGAGGAAAACAAAAAAAGAAATATCTTGGCAAAAACATAATGCGCCATTTTATTTATCTCAGGGCGCAACAGCTTGAAATGAAAACTAAATCTGAAATTAATGAAGCCCAATCTTACTGTGGCATTCTCCTCTGGGGTAATAAATGAGTTGGATCAACCTCCATCTGTCAGTTAATATGTCTGACGCCTCTTCATCTGCCCTTTTCTCTGATCACACACACTTACAGGCGCTCGTAATAGCAAAAGCTGAAGAGTTCCAAATGAGGAATGTTTGAATTTTGTTGATGCAAGTTCGACATGTCAGCTATGCATCCTGGAGTGAACTGGAGAGTTGGTTAGCTCTGTAATATGTGCAGTTGGTTGCATGCTACAAATCTCGACCATATTTTGCATATCATTAAATAGAGCAAGAATTCAAATAAGTTGGAAGAGACTGAACTAGACAGAAGGACATTAAGGCAGTCAGAATAGAGTGCGGCATTCAAGAAATCTGTCTCTGACTGCGTATACTCGTATTTCAAACTGTGACATTGTGCGCCACTAAGTGTAAGGTTAACTAACTCGACGAACCCAAACGCGTGCCTGCACATTTTTGTAGACCTAATTAACCTAATTTATTTTAGTCTAAAGACTGAAAACCTATGACAAATTGTTAATGTAGACTAAGACTTACAGAAACTATCATTGCCGAAAAAGCTGTGACTGCTAGTTGTGACGACTTTGTTGGTCCACATCTGAACACACAAACACCATGACAAAACTCTGCGCGCCCTCCCCCAGGCCCCCCTCACACTCACGTCCACTCTAAACAAAAATGTCATAGCAGAAATAACTCTCATTTCCAATGCTAACAGCCAATCTCCAGACATCCATGCGGCTGGCGCTGGTCTGATTTAGGCCCCGGGGGCTAAGTCAGTAGGCAGCTCCACAGTGCTGGCCAGACTAATGGAGACCTGGCAGGTGCGGCCCACTCTGTGTCCTCCCAGAGATTTGGTTTGTCACTGGGTATCCATTACCTGCCATTCTGGGCTGATAGGCCTTGACAGCCCTGATCAAAAGATGTCGTCGGGCCCCAATCCGTTTGGCAGTTGGTGGCATGTCGTTTGTAAAAAGGGCCAAGCAGGGTGTAAATAAAATGACATGATCGCTTCCCTGGCCCCTCATGTTCTGGACACAATTATGATAATGTGGAAGTGGAAGGGAGGGAGGGATCTGGGAGGATGGAGAAAGGGGCAAGGAGTTAAATTGCTCATGCTCGGGCAAACACGCAAGGGAACACTGCTACCAGGCAATTGACTGCCCACACCCTCTTTCCTTTTACTTTAGGTTTTCATCCGCTTCTCCTCTGGAAGGAATTGCTGTCAGATTCTCATTTGAAAGAGGAAATCCAGTCAGGATGAGGTAGTCGCTGTAATGTGTTTGTATCCTCGCTAACTAGTCACAGATGTGAGCTTGTATCAGGCGAGGCTGCCACATCACTTGACCAAGTTGTCAGGTCACTAGTCTCTTTCTCAATAAAAAACATTATGAGACGTATCTCGGCACAATGGCTGACAGTTTCATGCATCTAATGCTCTAACCCAGGGGTCCCCAACCTTTTTTGCCCCACGGACCGGTTTAAGTCAGACAATATTTTCAGGGACCGGCATTTAAGGTGTGGCGGAATTAATGCAACAAAATAATATGGTATGAGCTGCATGAAAACTGTGGTGTTTTCGAAATATAATAATAAACACAAGGAGCGTCTAATCTGGTCGCAACACTCTTATCGCTCTGGTAATGTTTAATGCCTTCAAAAAACGCAAATTCAAAGTGCATGAAAATGACGACTCACCGCAGCCCCGAGCTTGATTTTCTGCAATCAGACAGTCCCATCTCGGGGTAATAGGAGACAATGACACCTCAAGTGTGTGGTTTATGTCCAGTCTACTTCGTAATTTTGTTTTAGTCGCTGTTGCTGCATAAACTCCCCACCTCACACAGGTAGGATGTCGGAAATAGCAACAGTG